ATGTCCAGGAACTCACTGTCGTGCTCTGGTCTGCATTGCAGTGCTTGGTAGGAGGCTGAGCCACCTTTTCCATAAGATGGCCCTGGCACCCCATGGGCATCCTCAGAGTGGAAAGAGGAGCTGATATCAGGTGACAGTGTTGTTTTGGGTTGGTCTTCAGTGATTCTCCCCCTGAAGTAAGCTTACCCCTTGTTCTTACCAGGCTGTGGGACAAGCCTCCAAAAGAAATGACAGGGAACATAAAAAGCTACAATACTTTCAAGAGTCCAAGCTGGCATTTTCTCCAGCCAGAGGTTCCTAAATGACTTTGAAAACCTTGCTCTAAATGTTTTCTTTAGGACCATTTCATTAAATTGAAGGGTTTAAAATGTTTTTTTATAAAAATTGCTGAGGCTCTGAAAGCAATACCTTGGGCACATGCAAGCGGAGCATTTGAAAAACAACCACTAAAAGTGACACCAAATGGAGTCAATTGTGTACTTCAGAGCAGGCTTAGGGCACCTGGGCTCATCAACTTCCACTCCTCATTGTATTTAGCACCAAACCCCTCCTGAGGCCCTGTGGATGAGGAAGAAGAGGTCTGGGGGTGCCCTCTCCCACGCAGCCCCCTCAGTACTGGGTTATTGCACTATTTTTTTTATTTTTTATTTTTAAATATGCAGCAGCACAATATAAAATCCATTTAGAAACTGGGCTTGCTTGTTGCTATTAAAGAAACCATCAGTGAATTTCATTTTTTATTGGTTCAGTTACAAAACTCACAGCAGTGGTGTTGTGTTTGTTTTTCCAGAGCACCAATAAAAATCTTTTTGATTAAAAAAAATTGAGAGAAAGAAAGAGAAAGAATGAAAAAAGAAAGAAATTAAAAGCTGACCTGGTATAACCCATGTGAGCACTGAACCTCAGCGGTGTTATATAAAAAGAACAAAGAGGCAGCAAAGCCAATAGCTGAGCAAATGCTTGACTGCGGCTGCAACCAGCAATGATCGAAACTTGTTTATGACAGCATAAAAATGAGCACGATCAAGCTCTGCTGTATTAAACCAGGTTCAGTTATAGACTGATCACTGAAGAAATATGGCAGATGTAGAGCCCCAGGAAGTACACAAAAGCTCTTTCTCTGCTTTTCCATGGTTCCACTCTTGCCACATACAACCAGTACAGTTGGTTCCAGGTATTCTGGATGACACAATGCCATATTGCTTCTCGGCTGTCTCTTTACAGGTTTTTCTTCCCCTACAAACAAATATCTCAAAATTTATTGCCTTTGTGATTTGCAGCTCCATCTGGCCTACACCCAATCTTGAAACTAAGAGGAAAATTGTGAGCAATAGATACTGTAAGACAAATATCCCAAAAACAACAGCCACATTGCATTGGGTGCTATGCAGAAAAATTGTGGATACATCCTAAGCCAGGGTCATTGCTTTCTGCAGGGACATAGACAGCAAAGTGATGATAGCTCCGCTGCATTGTGGTTGGGACCTAGGTTTCCAAAATGATGCCTATGAAGAGCAAATCTAAGAAGCTTGATTTTCATTTCTTTGGACTGATTGCAATTCTATGCAAATCCGAATATATTGTAATTGCATTATTATGATATAGCTGCAACAGGAAATCAATTTTTTTTCCTCTTCAGAGTGAAAACAAACATTAACACATGTACTTGATACTACAAGTCTAGGGAATTAGAGTTAGGAGAGCTGCTTTTAAAAAAAAAAAACGCAAGTGGGGTGGGGTATAACCAAGAATTTTTAACATTTCATTTGTGTTTCTAATTTTTTTTTGTAAGTCCTAGAAAAGTAAGAAAATAAATTTTATTTTAGTCATAGCTGTCAGATATTATCTGTTACAGTTTATGAGATGTTAATAAGCTGCTCAGCTTCGCTGATCATTAAGAGCTGTTGATTCTCGGCTGGCCCATGACAGCACAGGTGCTGGTGCGAATGCACGGCTTTTGGTGTGAATTCCACAGACATCCATGTAAACCAGAAACATCCTCATAGGCAAGAAAGAGGGGAACAAAGCTAGGCTGACTAAAACAGCTGTTCAAAACTGGCATTAATATTTGCAAACACTCTGTCAACTCTGGCTGTCTTTAGAAATGATCTTCAGAGGACCACAAATCCTGTGAAGAGTCAGATGGCATATGTGTTGCTAAGCCTCTCGGACACTTTCAAACATCTTTGCTCTACAGCTTGTCTAACTTTGCGAAGAAATTAAGGCCAGCTGTCTTTGAATATATACTTATCAATGTCTGCATGGGTGGATACTGATAGTGCATTTACCAAGCCCAGCTTAATGCACTTGGGAAACAAGACATTAAATAATCCCTAGGAGAGAGCTGAGCAAGAGCATCCACTCTGGGATTACTGCGCTTCGCAGTCACGCTCCAGCTTAGTCTGTATATGCAAGTGCTTGGACTTCAGATAAGGAGGTGTTAACTGAGTGGGAAGTTTGTCGCAGTCAAAAATCTCCTAACGCCTGGGAAAAGACACCATGCATAAGAGCAGGACCCCATGTTCTTTTTCTGTCTTCTTGTGGGTGGGAAACAAATAGACTGAGCAAATAGCACGCAGAAGGAAATCTTTGGGGATTAAAACATGATATGCTGTGTTTCAAACAGGGATTTAGATAGGCCTCATGGAAGAAAGAATGTCTCCCTCACAGCCTCTATACTATCCTGGTGCTTTTCTCGCTTTCTTCTTTCACCAGGACTTCTCTCCAAATGAAAGTTCATTTGCCACTGGGATGCATGTACAGAAAACAGTAAAATCAAACAACTATTTTTGCTGGGGCCTTTTTTTTTTTCCACCCTGTCGGCAGAACAGATCTTAAACGGACACAAGAAAACTATTGTGCTAAGACTGTTCCCAGAACAGGAAAAGTCCTCTCCCATCCTCATTAACATTGTAAAAAGTATTTCAGGCTTGCATGTGCTATAGGAAAGGTTTGACAGACATGACCGTTGACTCAAAATATTAGGAGGGATTGGAAAACAACTGGCTGAAGCTTTCTGAACATCAGCGTGACTGCCAAAGAAAGCATCAGCACCCATTACTTCATGAACCAACATGTGATTTGCAGAAACGCTTACATGACTTAAAAAGTCTAAATCCCACTTTCAGAGGGGGCTTAGTCATCACAAAGTGATTTGAACATCTCAGTAAATTTGAGATTCTGACTATCGAAAGTGCAACTTTCAGTGGAAATGAACAGTTGATCACAAATTTCAAAGTATGAGATTACTACTACACAGACTGTTGGGGGAGATCAAAGCCCTTGTGAAATACCTTTCCTCCAGCACTACCTCTACACCTGCACTGAAGCCAGAAAGAGCTACAACAGCAGCATCCTACATCTGCTAAGAAAGGCTGAGGTGGTACACATGGAGATATCTATCTGGCAGCAACATCAGAGACAGTGTTGCTAGGAAGAGCTATTCTGTTATAGGAAGTGGGCAACTTCCCACATGTGTATGAAGTTGCTAAAACACAAACTTCTCACCTGTAAAAACACAATATACCTTCTGAGGTTTGCATGCAAAATTCTTAAAAAATAAAAACAAACAAAAAAAACCAACAAACCCATAACAAAGAAGGACATTTACATAATGCAGAAACATTCTTGTTTCAGTGAGCAAATAGAGACTGAGAAGCTTCAGTGCACATTCGCCAGATGGGATTGCAGTTTTCTTTCATTTTGTTAGAACCATGCAACAAGGATGTATTGCATCAGGCCTAGTCTAGGAGACTATTTCTCTAACATGGAATCTACACTTGTTTGAAACAATCTTCACACTTTTCGCCATCATAATCACAAGAGATTAACCACCCATCTGCTGCGAATGGGTGAAGCTGCTACATCAACATTTTATCAAAGGCACAACAGGACTTGTACTCTGGCAGATATTATAATAAAAAGCGCTGCAAAAAGTAACAATAGGCAGAGAAATTTGTGTCCTTACAGCATAGGATCTGGTGTATTAGTTTGGCACAGGTAGAAAAACTGACCTGGAAATATGACCTAAGGACTCCGGAAGGCAGAACAGAGGGGGAAAAAAATCTCATCTCTTGCCTCGCTCTTTTGATCCAGTCAGTCCAAGATATTTGTAGCTTTCTGGGCCACAAATGCACAAAGTCGGCTCATGTCTGGCTTTCCATCCACCAGCACACCCTCAAGTCCTTCTTTGCATGGGTGTTCACAGTGAGTTCTTCTCCCAGTCTGTATCCATATCTAGGATTGCCACAATCATACGCCATGACCTGCACTTGGCCTTGTGAAACTCATCAGGTTCTCATGGGCCCACTTTTTGAACACATCCAGGTCCATTTGGATGGCATTCCTTCCTTCTATTGTGTCAAGTGCACCACTCAGCTTGGCTTCATCAGCAAACTTGCAGAGGATGCACTCAATCCCACTGTCTATGCCATTAATAAAGATACTGAAGAGCACAGGTCCCAAGACAGACCCCTGGAGGACACCACTCATCACGAGCCTCCAACTGGACATAGATTAGTTGACCACAATCCTCAGTCTGCAGCCATCCAGCCAATTCCTTAACCACATGAACAGCCAACCCTTCAAATCCGTATCTTTCTAATTCTGTGATAAATTTAGTCATAATAATCACATACCAAGCTTCAGAATAAACATTTTGCCATTTAGAAGCCTTAGATCAGCACAGCTGAAGTGGTATTTGTGTTTAATGGGCACACAGTAAAGTGCTGCTTAATTAACCAGCACCAAACCTAACCTGAGTGTTTCAAAATATGATTCAAGTTCAAGAGTTCTCTCTATGAAAATTTCCATTTTATTAACTAAAAAAGAGTGAGTTTTCAGGTTTTCCCACAAAGGAAAGTTTATTTATGATGATATATTACCTGATATAAACTGAAGTGCCAAATACTGAAACGTCTTTTTTTTTTTTTTTTTTTTTTTTTTAGTGAGTTAGGCTGTTTGCTTGGACTACCCAAGATGAGCAACAGAAATCCTCCTACCTCAGTCCATTTGGAAGATGTCTGGAGACACATGACTCTTGCCTTATGACCACCTCATGTTATCACTCACATCTTCATGAGCCTCTGCAGAAACAAGAAGAAACAAAACCAAAGAGACCATGAAGAAACCTTGAAAGAGAAATAAAAAGACTGTGTGATAACTAGAATAGCTAGCAATACAAATGAGGCATCTGAAAATTAGCTAAGATCATACTGATGGTCTTCCTAAGAAGAGCTATGGCACAGTTAGGGAAATGATGCAAATGATTTGCTAAGCATCACCATCATGACTTACAAAACCATGGAAAAGTACTGTTCCAAAACGTCAAAGCATTGTTTTCATCTATAATGCCAGCTGAGGAAGCCAGTGAATTCATTCCTGCTTACCAATAAACTTTTATTTAGTTTTCCACTGTGAGATTAGATCATGCAGGAAAAGTTCAAAATAATACCGTAAAAAGAGATGAACTCACACAAGATTTTCATTGGTCATTGGAAAAAAAAATAAAAAATCTGTCAAACTACTGAAAATGAATTAACTTTGGATACTTGAATACATAAACATTTCTGCAAAAATTCTTCAGGACAAAAAAATTTATTTACCGTGCCCTCCAGGGAAATGTACCTCATCAATCCCTTGTCACTAAATCACTTGCTAACAGTTATGGTGTGAGGTAAAGTGCTGTTTAGTCCCAATGAGTTTAAAGACCTTGATGCCTAATGAATTCTCCTATTCATACTGGAGGTTACATCTGTACTAGGTTCTTTTAACAACCTGGTGCTGAAAAGATCTGATGTAATTTTATTATTTACTAAACAGGTGTCAGTAATCATATCCAATGATGTCAGGCAGCTTGATGGGAATTTGCTTTAAGATGACTATCAGAGAGAGACAGCGCTCCATAAACATAAAAAGGCTCTCCTCTAGGTAGCCAGAGCCTCACAGCACATTCACTGGCTGGAGCCAAGGCTAGTTAGTGTCATCATGAACAAGAGCAATTACTGAGGGTAGTTCACAGTGCCAGAGTTAATTCTGAAAACCTCATCAACAAAGTTAAGACTTGTTGAGCTCTTGGGGTTTGCTTCACAGAGGATCCTTTGCTCACGCAACTGAACACCTCAGCAAGCACATAACCTGGGTCCTTCCCTCCACCAAAACATGCCTGTGGCTATCCTCCCATGTGCTCAGCAGAGCTGCACCCTTTCAATAGAACACACGGGCACATCTCATTCACCCTGGTTACAGAGGGGGAGTACAAAGGTTTTTTTTGTTTGTTTGTTTTTATCATTAGGAGATAATGAAAGAGCTGTCAGTGCTGCTGCTTCACTCCTGTAAACTAGCCTGTAGGCTCCCAGATTGTTTCTGAGTTACTTCTTGAGTAACCCCATGGCCACCCCTTCTGGGCAGGACAAATCCAAGCACAGGGCTGGAATTAAAATTGCTTTACATTTAGTAACTTGTGCAGCATTGATGTGCAGTGGGTTTGCAAAAGATTTTGGCTTTGCATCACCATTCCCTTGGAATAAGAGAAATTTGCGGCGAAAGACAGAAATGCCGTCTTCTGGATGACTTACGCCAGGGCCAGTTGCAAGATGAGGCCTCCTCAACTTGTAGAACTTATTTTCCTCCTAACTTGAATTTTATCTAGGCTATTAAATATTTCTACCAGATTTGCTCTTAAGACAAAAAAAAAAAAAAAAGTCTGTTTTAGCTAATTGAAACTTTTCACAGAAAACAAACAAAAAAAATCTACAACATAAGGAAGATTTTGGCTGAAAAACTTTCTTTTTTCAGCCTCACACTGAAAACTTTCCAGGTTAGACTAAAAATGTTTAGTCTTTAGTGACAATGTTAAATTTTCCATGGAAAAAAGAAATGTTTCCCAGAGATGTTAATAAGCTACAAGCTGTATTCCTCATTGCTGGAAATGTATTTGTTTGACTATACAATTACAGGCACCACTTTTGCATTCATATGTCTAAAGTTTTAACAGCAGATTGCTTATTTTCATCAGTGCAGTAAAACAGCATCAAAAATCTACACTGCAGATATACAGTCATCCTAATTTGTTCAGCTTGATATGTAAATTAAAGGCATTGTAAAGTGGCATTTGAATTCACAGCAAACTTGCAACCAGTTATTTGATCTGCACATAGTCAGTCTACTTTGGCTCTATTAGATGTTGGTAGTTTGCTCTAACACACTTTCCAAAACATGTTATATTAAATCACACACTTCTTCAGATTTGAAGAGTAGATCATAAGCTGGAAGTTTATCTACTTTTTCCAGCTACATCAGTTGCATCTAATAAAACTCATTACCGAGTTCTTGTCTTGTTTACATCCCACAGAGGTAGCCTTAGTGCAGAAAATGAACATTGACTCAACGAATTGAATGGGCTTTGTCAAACTAGGATCCTGACAGGTTGCGTTTTTTTTTTTTGCATCCATCAATACACAATACCAGTAAATTCCAGTATTTTTGTTAGCTTAAATAGAAAAGTTTCTACTCCGTAAAAACTAATTTTCCAGTTCTAAGACTATGTGTTTTTTAGAGCTTTTTTCCCCTTCAATTTTGTTACTAGGTAGTTAGTTCTTCCTTCCTTAATGGCTATTTAATAAGACCCAGCTGATGCTCGATGAAGTGACCAAGCAGCACCTGAAAGAGATGGGATGTAACATTCATATAAAGTGCCTGAGTACAATCATTGTTATTAAAAGGATAACCAAATGAATTCATAACGATGGGACACTCATTTCAAAGTGTTTCCATAGCTGTTACACATCAGGAAAAATAGGGAAGTTACCTCATTTTCTCCAATCCTAAATAACCTAATAAACTCACCAAAGAAATTAATTAGCCAATATTTCTTGAAAATTCATAACAAAGTTTCCATTTTTCCATCAGATAATTCCTTAGTGCATTCTGGTTTTTAACTTCCTTCAAGTCTGGATCATTTTGATGTGTGAACAGACATTTTGTGTTTCCATGGGTTATTTCCACAGGTTCAAATATCTTATGTAATTGACATTTTCCTGCTTACAAAAGCTGTCAAACTTAAAAGTAGCAGTTGATTGATAAAACATGGGTTTTGTCTGTAACTTAACTTCATTGTTGGGGCTTATTGCTCAAGCTCTGAATAACTCCTCTCTTCAAAGTGACATGCATTCAATTTTTTATTTTTTTAATTTTAATTTTTTTTTTTTTTAAAGCATCTACATTTTAAAGCTTAAAAGCAGTGATTGCTTTTTCTTTTTTTTCTTACAGGTACATCTCAACAATTTGCTTCTCTTTACAATTGCTACTTTTTAGATAAGGACTGCAACTTGACTTTAAGTCCAAACTCTGTGTAACACTGATTCACAAACATTTATTCTTTCCAATCCTGACAATTAGAAACAAGAAAACAAAAAGAGCACTACATCTATGGCATTTACAGAGGACTACAGCTATTCGGGCCATAAAGCAAGTGACAAAGACCATTTTTAATAACAAAAACAGTTATTAAAAGAGCATTTCTTCTAGCTATGACAAATGCAGTGCAGTGTGATCCAGAGCCTGATTGGCATTTTTTTGTTGGCTTGCTGGGCTTTGGGTCTTACTCTTGGTTGAGGACATGAACAAGTTGGCATATTTGAAACAGACATAGTAATAGTGCAGAGGAGTGTGGGGACATGGCTATTGCCTTTGTCTCTGTGCAAACCATCCTCAATGTGATGCTTCATGATGGGCAACCATCTGTGTTTTCCACCTGAACATCATTGATTTACATTGTAAATACTCAGCAGTGTCTTAACAGCACTTCACTGTTACTGCCCTTTATGCTCAGATAGCCAAGACAGGAATCACAGAACCCCTTCACTGCCCACAAACTTCTGAGTAATAGTGCACCCTGATTTCCTTCACATGCGGCAGAAGGCAGGTAACATCTGATTCAATAAAAATGCTCTGCTTTGCCCCCCGCAGGGCATCTCGCGTGGTGATGGCCTCCAACAGCCTTTCTTCGTCCTTGAGCCTGCTCTGCTCAGAGATGTCTCAAAACCACGCTGTCCCAGACTGTCTGGGCTTTAATTCTGCACCACGCAGTGCAGACTCAGAATCAAATTCAATTGTCCTGAGCAGGGTTGGATTGAAGCAAGCGCCAATTTTTTATTTTTTTTATTTTTATTTTATTTTTTTTGAGTCAAGGCCCACATACAGTAGTTTCACATGCCTTTGGCAGAAAAATGTTTTTGCTTTCTGAAGCAGTTGTTTTTTCAATGATATGACTTCCTGCAGGGGCGTTTTAATTATTGTTGGTGTATCACCTAACTTAGTTATGTATCGCTTTGAAGTTTTTCTTTGCATCTGATAGTAAGAGGATAGCAAATAAACACGGCTGTGTTCAGTCGCTTCCCCTTGCCCTGCATAGGCTTGGTGCAGCTTCTTTGGATTATGCAAGCACAGGGCAGATGGAAAAGGAGGTCCAAAGGCAAAATGCATGTACTGACACCTTTATGCTAGCAAGTGCTTTCTCTTAAGCTGACCGTATTAACAGTAAAGTGGAAGTCACACACACAAACTCCACAATGGCAGGTCAAACCCTGAAGACAGAAAATTGTTCAAGACTAAGAGCTGCACAAATGTGTTAAAGGACCGTTCCCAGGTGAGAAAAAAAATAGTCACAGATTTTGAACCAAATACATCGCAGCAAGAGTCGCTGCACTGTGGCACAGCAGCAAAATTTGCAAGTGTTTGCATATAATTGCATGAAGTGATAGCCCAGCTACCCACAAAACAGACGCAAGGAAATCTTCCTTGTTGTACTGCCAAGGTAGGATGGAAGGGCTTGATGCTAGCCAGATGGCAGCAGAGTATGCACAACCTACAGCGAGCTGCTGAAATACATCCCAGCTCAAGTCTCCTATTACTTTGATGCTTCTAACATATTTACGTACCAAGGGCTGGGTGATGACACCTCACTGCACTCAACTTCTAGTCTTCACTTTGAGCAATTTACCTCCTCCCAATCCAGGTAACAGTTAAATATTTTAGATTTCATTTACTTCTTCCTAAGATAAACACCAGAAAGTTGTTTTCTACT